AGATTTTGATATCGGTCTCTGGAGTTATTTCATACATAATTTCCACGAATTGCGTTTTCTCTATACTCGGCGCCCAAACTATACGTTCGGATAATCACTAATATTCATATATCTACCGTACCGTTTTAACAAAGATTTTGTCTTCAATATTATTGATAAGATTATTTCAAATCTGTTATTGTTCACTGCATTTGCAACATGTGTGTCTCCAACGCTCATTGTCAATGTAAACACATATTCTTATATATGGCCTAATTGTATGGTGCTGAAAACCAATCACCTCTTGAAATTATTAAATTTCAGATTCCCTAGTTTTAGGGAGAGGACTGAATTCGCAGCTGTACGATCATTAACTTGTACCCGTCTAAATAAGTTAGAAGTGTGTGATTGCTGTGTTTATTCTAAAGTTCTGATCTTTTCCTATCGAGCTCGAAACTAAAGAAGAAAAACATGAGTGCGTGTTTAAAAAGAACATCTTGTAAACGTGTGTGAGTTACACAGAAAAGGCTGTAGGGGCACGTCGAAACGAAAACTCCAGCAAAAAGAATTTGAAATGCATTAGCACGGAATTCTGATTACTTGATGAAAAGTGTTTTCTTTAAAAAATATGGCGATATGCACATAAAGAAGTTCATCGGTCTCCGACGGTAAGGTATCAACAAGTACGGAGCTAGCACGAAAACTACTCACAAAACTGTCGTGTGTGACCGACGTCAAGCATTGCGGTCACACTCTTAAGTAACCATAACCACCTCTAACCCAATTTTCTATTAGTGATTTAAACCAGAGATCGCGGAAAACTATATGCACCTACAGAAGTTCATCCGACGTTTTTCGGCACCCTAGGATACAAAACTATCGACCTTACTGAACACGATTAAGAAGAAAAATTAAATTTTCAGTGGAAATGGTCATTTTAATTTCATGTGTATGTTACTTCATGACGAGGTTACAAATGAAGATGGCTTCATGTCCGTTCATAATGTGACGTGCTGGTGATGCTTTGTCGAATGCCTGCAGCCATCTCTATCTGTTAGGACCAACTTGGTCTGTATCAATAATGAATGCTCACTAAACTATTTATCATAAATGTCTATGACTAATTATCTAAGTTTATGATGAACGGGATAAAATTAAATGTATTGTCCGTAGGAAATGATTTTGAATAGTCACTTGTGCAAGATTGTAGATAGCCATCAGGAAAGCCCAACAGTAAAATTGTCACAGATTCTTATTATCGGTTAATTTATCTCCCTTACCTCAACCTTCGAAAGCATTCAACGAAATTATTATGAGTAAATACCAGTGTATGTAATTAGCGCACCACCAATACTGAGATTTCGATATAAGTCCTTACAAAATAGTATGTTAGAAAGTTCTACTGGAATACACAGATTTATCGAATTCAATGACAAATCATTGTCAATATTCTCGCGCTCAGAAATTGCTTACATCAAATTATCTCATAAACCACTAACAAAATTCCCTAGCGTGATATTTTACTCAAACACCTGAGCCCAGAAATTTTCGAGCAGACAAAAGTAAAAACTAAGGGAAATTAATTTATACGAATATTCGTCTAGATTAGAACGAATAGTTTGACAGTAATAAGGGAAATTAAATTCATTGGTATTTTCTATCCACATGCAATAGATTTTCAGACCACACAATGAATCATACTAAGGCGTTTAAACGAATGACCTTGACCGTGAAAAAGCACCAATCCAGAAGATTTTGATAAAAAACACATCTGGATCTGCTTTTTTTCATACCCTTTGTTTGCAGGATTATGTATCACAGAATAGGAGTGCGTTTTTTGTCGCATTTATCAGTAAACCATTGTGTGAATAATTTATAATTTGGGAACAAAGAACTAACGTGTCTAACCAAATTATATGAAATTGACTGGACTGATTATTTTTAAAAAAAAATTTCGTGTAGATGTGAATCCCAACGTGACTTCGAAAGATTACAAAAAATTTTGTTTTGATTAGAAGTAGATATAAGCGTGAGCAGTTCTCCTCAGGTTTTACACAGGCATATAATTGTGTTTACATGCAGATGTGCATAACATTATATCAACTAATGCCATTCATGAGTCTATCATAATGATGATTCAATTTACGCAATTTATATTTATGAATGGCAATTAATTATCTGCTCAGTTTGCGGTGACTAGTTTAAATTGTTTTAATTTACGGATTGACTCAGTTTAAAAAGTTAATCAAAATTAGGGGCTTATATTTAGCTACTTTGTTTTAGAAATGCAATCCTACAACTGCGCAAGGATGTGGGCATTGCAGTAAACACCTATTTGTTTCACAGGTTGAAATCACGAGTCCATTGAAGCTAGACCACCATGAAAAACCTGGAAGCACTGGACGGCCCTTTCGTCCTAGTATAGGACTCCTCAGTAGTGCGCATCCACCAAGCCGGTTTACGCACATGACATTCGAATTTCGTCCTCTCAACTGAACGAACAAAACGTCCACCACAAGAATTCATTGCGTAGGACCTCCATTGCAGTGGCTGTATACGTGTGACCATGTGAGAGTATCCTGAGAGGGAGAGTGAACTCTCTTCACCCTCGACCATACCAATGTATTGGATTAGAAGCTAGTCGTACGGATTTGTCTATTCTGTCATGTCATCTTCGTTCCCTTTTGCAATACTTGTCTTGATACAATATCAGAGAGAACAAAACTCCATCAACATCATCCACCTGAGACACAAATCTTCTCCACCATCTCGGTATTCTTAGCATTTTGCCTTGATTAAATTTTTGCCGTACGTGAATACAATCACTGCTGAGACTTGGAGACATGTTTGTTCGCCTGTCTTCATTAACAAGAAATAGGAAAATATTGCTATATCCAAGATGTCCACTTTGTGTTTTATATAGAGAAAGCCTTAGCTAGTTGACTTTGATACTACGGTTTCAGACTAAATTGTTGATTTAGATGCTATGATGCTATAGTAATCACTATAGAGATAATCATTTAATGAGAAACCAAATAGTTTGTTCATTCCAGTTAAATCGAATAGATTACTTCACATAAATGTTAGATATTAAAGATGCCATAGGTATTCGGACTTACCAGTATTACCGTTCTAATAGAAGTATGCCAACTCAGTCGAATCCGAAGTCAGAAACCAAGAGGTCCGAAGATATATTTGGAATGTTATTGATATATCAAGAAGCGTTTGATCTAAGCTGGCTAACTGCTGTAATTGATGCGTACCTTTTCACGATCTGGTGCGGATGCGTGACCGAGCACTTTCAGCTAGATGTGTTTGGTGAAACTAAAGTGGTCCAATCTCGAGAACCTACAGGACCATTTATTTTGGATTTATTTACTGCTACTAGATAATATCTTGAAATGCTTTGTGTGGGCTTTAATGTTGTCCAAATAATGATCAAAGCTTCTCACTTAAAACAAGCTCCAAGAAGTCAGCGTCACGAATTAATGATATCGTAAATATGTTGTCTGATCGAATGAAATTATTGTTCAAAAACTGAGTTTTCACACAATATACAATGTCTCTTTAACCTAGTTTAGAAGAAAATCATTCTGGCTATAATACACTGGAAACAATATGCCTTTTATACAAACTGGAAGGAATGAGTATTAATACGTTCATGTACCATAATCCAAAGAAACTGCCTTGACATATAAAACAACCTTGGTGATAGTGTTGAGCTTGGATACTAAGGCGCATAGAATACCTGGCTGACATTGCTTAACCTTCTCATCGAACGAGAATGAACACGTTCATTACGAAATAGAATGAAATACACAAATAAAGTAGTTTATTTGAAACTCAAGTTCAACCTATAAAGTAGTGTTACTGAAAATGATCTATACATCCGATTTACGTTGCGGATTTCCCATTAAATAAATGCTCATCTACACGTAGCCAGTCGGTCTGTTAAAATTCAACCAAAAGTGTCTACTGTCTAGTAATGTGATTAAGAGTGAATATATTCAATACATTCTCCACATAACTATATTAGTACAAATGTACAGCTCAAGTAAATGATTGCGTTGAAAGAATTCTCTTCGTTGAATTACCTTTTTATGATACCATGGATTATTTTTGTTAGCTACATTTCCGAATACCGTTCAATTCGACCTTCGACAGATTCCATATTCAAATAAGAACCTTTTATGATGTCCCCTATTTGTCAATACGACTGATTTTCGTTCATAAATCCGATAATATTTAACCTTAATAAACACAAACTAACAAAGCACTACACAAAATTATGACTTTCGGACTAATCGCGTCGTTCCTATTATTTATGATGTGTAATAACAGTACAATAACGACCCGGTCGGTATAATTTGCAACATCGTCGTGCATAGTAAATTATTCTAAATAAAACTAAGGACGCAGAAAACTTCAATGAGCAACATTTCAAAACGTTATTCTACATCTTATCAGACTACCTGCCAAAATATAACGTCATTAAAGGTCCCTGAGCAGATGCACAGCCTGAGCGCCAACGCGGAAGTCAGACATATTGACCGCCGAACACCCTCCGCTCATGCTAGGTAGAACTTACAACTTACGTCATACTGTAACAAAGTAGACGACCTGACAACGATAACCGTCTGCAGACGCATTTACCGTCGTCTTGGTTACTCGTGACCACACTTCCTAGGGGAATTAGTACAGTTGAGACGAGACCCCTTCATTGAATTCCTAACGATTAGCGCGTCACGAATATCTAACCTCGGCCCAATTACAAACAGAATGCCCTGTCCCTCTGACTGTCAGATCTCAAACGGTAGTTCTAACGGGAAATACACACGATACACATGGTCTTTAATGACAGATCGCTATACCCACCACGCACGCGGATAGCAAAAATGGACGCACAGCACGACGGAACATAGTCCCAGGAATACACAGGAGACGGTAATCAAATTTTAGTGGCCCTAAAAAGGGCCTTTGCATCGTTCTCTGGGTTCCAAATTCATATTTGCTGTTTAGGCTCGTTCACCACGTATACGTCGTGCCAACTGGATATCTTTTGGCATGATAGTGACACGCTTAGCATGGATAGCACACAAGTTTGTATCTTCAAACAGTCCAACCAAGTACGCTTCACTGGCCTCCTGAAGAGCAGACACGGCTGAACTCTGGAATCGTAGATCGGTTTTGAAGTCTTGGGCGATTTCTCGGACCAAACGCTGGAATGGGAGTTTGCGAATCAGAAGTTCGGTACTCTTCTGGTAACGACGGATTTCTCGGAGTGCGACAGTTCCAGGTCTGTACCTATGTGGCTTCTTCACGCCCCCAGTAGCTGGGGCACTTTTGCGCGCAGCCTTGGTGGCTAGCTGCTTTCGAGGCGCCTTACCTCCAGTTGATTTGCGAGCAGTTTGTTTGGTTCGTGCCATTCCGAAACACCAAGAGACGATGACAACGCATCACTCTAGTCACTCGTGTTATATATATTAGTGGGGCATATATTGACCAATCAGCACTTAGAAAATTGACATAAATGACTTCGTGTCATTTCTATTTGATATCAGAATCATCCACTTCTCTATTGGTCCATTAGATAATTATGACCTAGACGTGAATGTCTACTTTTTCAGCCTTGAAATTTATTAACCTATCGCTTGAGCTCTAATACCGTGTTTTTTATAGGGTTCAGACTGATGGTTTTCCAACCAGTAATATGAGTTACGTTTAATGTAGTATTATTTACTTACATAAACCGATAATATAGTATATTTGTTGTTTTGTTCACGGAAAAGTTTCTTCATTGGGTCACGTAGTTAAAATATTTTGAAGTTAGGCTTGAAGAACAATTCGACTAAATGATATATTAAGATATCGCTGTTGCAATTAAGGTCACCCACATTTGTTTTGATAATCTGAGCTCTCTTGTGAAGTTGTTACTACTAGCTACAGATTTGTTACATCTCTATATTAGGATGGATCTGGTAATCAGTTTCGTGATTAAAACTTAATAAATATTTCGTCGATCTAGTAATTGATCTGTTTATGAGGTTCTCTGTCGCTTTTCTCATTCTGGTAGGTCATGCAAAACGCAATTTTGTATTTTGGAGATCTAATGGCCATTCATTTCTTATTCATGAATTTGTTTTACTTGAACGTTCTTATCAGATTGTATAATTAGAGATTAAGAATCTTCATCTATTGAGTTGGTTGGGGTACGTGTTGTCTATGCCCGAACACCGATAACCACGACGTGCAATGCTGGCTATTGTTGGAGATGGTTGGAAGAAAGTTAGGGACGGCCAAACCAAAATGCAGTATCAGTGCTTGAGGTCACTAACTTCTAGTCTTATTCATAATGGTAGATGCAGACTACTTGGTTGGGGTCCTCGTGACTATCGTATCAAATGGTTGAAGACCTTGGATGACATGATTCAGAATCGATCATAATGGTGTAGTATATACACTTTCTGTCTTCCTTTAAACTATGACATTAAAATCGCTTCACATCTTCCCGTACTAAGTCCTCATATTCAATCTTTTATATGTTACCACCACTGAATTCACTACTTCTATGAATTCGGTGTTCATCTTATTGTACTAATGAAGTACGGCAACTTGGACCGATGCACATGTGTGCCTGATCCTACGTTGTAGCTGACTGATTGTATAATTAGAGATAGGACTGTTAATAACTGGTACTATTTTTGTGATGTTTCTACAATGTTAGTTGTAATGTGTTCCTTAACAAAATGAGATTCATAGTAACTCAGTCTGTTAAAATAAAATTGTACTTTTTGTTCGTGAACTTCAAACATATACACGTATTAACTAGTGAATATTAATTGCCGCCTGAATAATCAATTTACCTGAGATCACAAGGCATAAGTAGTGTCGGTTGTGAAACACAAGATCTATTGCTGTTACGTAAATAAATCTTCACCTACCGTCTTACTTTTTTCATGTGCGTCGAGTAAAATCAGTTCTATTCCTTCATACATGGGAAGTAAATTATTTGAGTCCGAATCGCATAACAATTCATCATACAAATAACATTGACAATTCATCTATGTACCTGATCCTATCAAGGTCTACTACACAACCCAGATTACGTCATAGTGATTGTTGATGTAATAAGTGACCATTTAGTACAATAACTGTCGAGATTAAATCGTAAATGAAAGTGAACCAGCAAATACTAGAAAGCTATCAGAACATGCTAAATTAAAAAAAAAACAGACGAAATCTTCCAACGTTGCTCTATGAGTTACTTCAATATAGTTAACTGATATAAGCAAGTGAATGTCTGTCTATCACTAATATTAATGTTTAGTTGTATTGACTTATAGAAAACAGACAGCCATAGATATCGTGATTATAAAAAAATCAATATTACATCTGTACGTAGTATTACGGTATTGGAATGTATATTGAATGTCTATCTGCGATTCTAGTTAATGACCAATCGGATTATAATAAATTGGCTAAACTTAAATAATCTATGCTATTTCGATCAATAGCTCATGGGCCTTGACAACAATAGCACTGGTGTTTATTATCTCAGTACAAGAAATTAAATAAATAAATATCCGTAACGCGGCATCATGAGCGGACGGGGAAAAGGTGGTAAGACGCGCGCTAGGGCAAAAAGTCGATCAGCTCGTGCTGGATTACAATTTCCTGTTGGTCGTGTTCATAGACTCCTGAGAAAGGGCAATTATGCTGAACGTGTTGGAGCTGGTGCTCCAGTTTATTTAGCAGCCGTTCTAGAGTATCTAGCTGCTGAAGTGTTGGAATTAGCTGGCAATGCAGCAAGAGACAATAAGAAGACACGTATCATTCCTCGTCATCTACAATTAGCTATAAGAAATGATGAAGAATTAAACAAATTATTGGGTGGAGTTACAATAGCACAAGGTGGAGTTTTACCAAATATTCAGGCTGTACTTCTTCCTAAGAAAGCTGAAAAACCAAAAACATAAGAAGACATTTGTGAGTTTATACACTCATTAATTTGTTTCACAGTAATTTAATTTTGAACAAACAATAAATAAAGTAAATGTGTAAATATAAAAACGATGGAATTCTTTATGCAGATATTGGGTTTTCGTGCTGGATATGTAGTCCCTGTAGTTAGTTAGAAGGAAACAAAATGTTGGATTTAAAATATATCTTACGCCTGTTACTCCTAATGGAGCATAGGTCGCCGACCAGCATTCTCCAACTTACTCAGTCCTGGGCCTTCTTTTCTAGTTCCATCCATTAAAATACGTCAAAAAACGACAAATTAGTATTAGATCCATTTCATCAGTTGTAAAACTGCCTCGATATCGTTTCTGGTTGAACGTCGATTACTTTTGATGGTGATTGATTAAGGCCTCTAAAAGATGTCTTCCGTGTTACATGGTATATCTGTTCGATATATTAGCATGCTTGTAAGGTCAAATCTCAACACCCATATCTTGAGACATTACTCAGTCAAAAGCTGATATGCAGAGGTATTTATTTAATGGATATTAATTGTCCATATTACTGATCTGAATTAACTGTTAATTTGAATACCGATTTGATCTAATTCAGATCAGTCGTCACGTGATGTATTTATGAGCAAGTATTATGTTTTGTCATGCTTCAAGTCATGAAATTACTTTAGTTGTTTATGTATGGTATTCTGGAAAGTGTTTATGGTGGCCAAAAGGAAATATCATATTTTAATGTGGCATATCCTATGATAGAAAATGCTATAGGATCTACTTCTCTTTCTCAGACTTTAGACTGCTATTGAAAGACGTTTTTCCCTCTCTAAAGTTTCCGTAGTATTTATGTAATTCGATAGTAACAGCACAGCAAATTATGGTATTGTGTAGAAATAAACAACTATGAGTATGAAAACTAGGTTTATAATCGGCAGTTTAAAAAGTTTTAAGGCGTATGATATTTTATTTATCTGTGATAAATTACTTTAGCCACACAATGTCTCATGTCTGGTTATGATGCAAGTAGGGATTTACTGGTCAAAAGTGATATTATCAAGTAAACCAGTACTAAGTTTTATCCAAATTAATAATCAGAAACCCTTAAGTTGTAGACTAAATAAATAAATAATGCATCAAGTTTGGTAGAAAAATGAAACAGTCTGAAGAAAATCTAATTTTTATAGGAATAATAGTTTCTAAAGCTCTTTTAGAATTAGGAGGAAGATAATTTACTTCTATATTTGGATCTAATTATACAGTTTTAAAAACTTCATATAAGTGGCTGATCTACTATTCAAAAGACAATATAGTGTGTACTCTAACAAACTTCTATCAGTTAAATTTACTTCAAATTCCAAAAATTAATTACGCCTGTTACTCCTCGTGAAGGAGCATAGGCCACTCACCAGCGTTCTCCATCCAACCAGCTCAGTGGCCTAGTGGTTAAGTGATCGCGCGCGGAACAAGTAGGTTCTGGGTTCGAATCTCACAGGGAGCGAGGTTGTGGATGTGTACAGCTGAGGAGTCCCACAATAAGACGGGTCCCGAAAATATTACATGATTTATGTGGGTTATACTTTTAACTAGCAACAGGCATTCGAGATTTCTGTGTATGACGTTCCTTAAATAAGTGGTAAGGATAGTTGTTTCGTCTATAATTAACATATTTAATAATTACTAAATTAGCATTCGTCAGTTTATTACAACTAAAATTTGATATTATTCAATGGTCTTAAACATTACGAGGAGTCTTGTTAAATATTTAAATTGAGTTGACCTAGAGACTTTTACATAAAGTGGAAACATGTTAGAGACATACAGCAAGTTTTAATGGCCTGAAGGAATGAATATCTATCTGTCGTGTTCCGTATACTACACTTAGGCTAAACCTGTTCGAGCTATAGTGGTAATAAAAGCCAAATACGGATTGAGTTGGATTAGTTTGCCGCAGGCATCCGTTTACTCAGATAAACAAGCATTACTACATTTCAAAACAATGTGTAGTGTGACAAAAGGACAGGCATTGGGTAAATGGTGAGTGACAGACAAACACACAAAGCGCATAAGGGCAGAATCACAAGGAAATGAACACAAGACGTATATTTGCTGAAGGTCACAATTCACTACGAAAAGAATACAATTCCTATGAATGCAAAAATGACCCATTTGTTTGCTGTAGGTCTTAGTCCGAAAGTTGGATGAATTATTTAGCAGCACTAGACTCTACAAAGTAAACATAAGAATAAAGAATTACTAAATCATATTAGCCATAACAAGTTATTCCACGTAATTGTACTGATAGGAATAATGCAGTTTATTGCTCACTGATACTGTCTACTACTTACGTAGTTGAAGTAACGACGACAGGGGATATGAAGTCTACTTACTCTTTTATCAATTAACTTTGAATTCACTAGCTGTTCATTACTTCCCAAAAGGTTGGCTTTATTTCGAGATAAATCTT